GTGAACCAGACTCAATTAGCCTCATAAATCAAAGCAAAAATATCCCTTTTAACTGGTTTCTCTGGTGTGTTTCATGTGTATCTGTGGGAATATAAACAGTGCTGTTCTTGAAATAAGGATTTCTCTTTCTCTTTCTGCAGTGTGGGAATCCTTTTTATTATTAAATCAATGCATTCCTGTTAAGTTCAGCTGTCACTTTTTAAATTTATTTTATTTCTTATGTCACTTTGGGTCTTCTTCTCTCTGAGAAGAAAAGTGAAAAAACCACATGTTGTGGGTTTATGGGGCTTTAATTTGACCAGCTTCAGTGTTTGAGCTAAGCTAAGTGGCTGCTGGCTATAGCCTTATAGTTGATTTACAGACATGAGAGCAGTATCAATCTTCTCTTGGCAAGAGAAGGAAAAAACATATTTCCTAAAATACCAAACTATTCCTTTAATATTCCACATTGACATCAGGTTAAATATATTCTGGATTTCTTGATGTTGTTCTTGGGCCTGAGTTCTGTCTGACCAACTTCGTTCCTTAACTGGCTCCCCACAAGGACGCATGCTTTCACCGCTTTTATTTATCAAGTGGTGTGAGGAATCCTACCTTCAACTGAACATATCTAAGAGAAAATATATGATAATTGATTTTTTTGAAGATGTGCCAATATACCTGAAGTCACATCAGTTGAAGGTCAGACAGGGAAATGTGTACAATCTTACAAATACCATGGGACAATTACTGACACAAAACCTAACTTTGAGGCAAAATTGTGAAGCTGTGTGCGAGAAGGAGCATCAGTGTTTGTTGTGTGTGAGGAAACTGTACTATTTCTGCATTGACAAGACCATGATGACCTAATTCTACCGTGCTTTTTCTGAATTGATTTTATCTTTGGAATTCTGTGAATCAAATTGTTAAATGATCCAGTAAGCTGCCCGCCTAACCTAGCGTCCCCATAAACCAGACAGTTACAGTGGATAGCTGGCCTTTTAAATGACCACTTGCATCCTTTGAACGGTGAAAATCAGCTTCCTCATTTTGGACAATGCTTCATTGTCCCAAAGTACAGAACAAAACGGTGTAAGGAGAGCTTTGTTCCTGAAGCCCTCAATCATATCAATAAAGTGTAGAGACACACAACACTGCAGAGAAACAATATTTAATTTATTTGTTAGTTTTTATTTACCTTGCATTTGGTGTGGTCTGTGATGTAATGTGTGTGTGTGTGTGTGTGTGTGTGTGTGTGTGTGTAAGATTGATGACTCTTTTTACTGCAAACCAAATTTGATTACAGGTACAGGTACAAACAGAGTAACGTAACCTAAAAGATTCATTAATAAAAAAAATGTACTATATAATACGGAGTGGAAATAACCAGTGTAATTGCTTTATTTCTTATAGTTCAGCAGTTTAATACATTTTAAAGTTATTTTGGTTGGAGCATTGAGTATTTGTGTACACCTTTAATATCACAATTTTCAGTCTTATCCCCATTTGGATGTTATTCAGGATATAATGTTTACACAGAAAAGAAGACACCTGGTTATTTATATCCTTGTATAGAGCATAACATTACCTCTGGTTTGTGTGCACCTCTGTGCTGGTGTGTCTTGATTTTTTAAAATCTCTGCCACTCATTGCTGTACCAACAAGGAATTATCAGAAACCTAAATAAGGCATCTAAATGACGCAGTATCCTGGTTTCTTGTGGCGTACTCCGGCTAGCATATCCATGTTTCTGAACCCAGGATAAGATAATACGTAATTGGGATAATCAAGAAGCTCAAGAAGGTCAGCAGCAGATATTTACTAAAGTATACAAAACACATTCCCCTCTCTTGAGAAAATCATACACTCAGCATGTGAAATTGTTGTCTCGGGGTCAAACACACCCTCTAACTGTGTTCGCTGAGGCGAGTTCGTAAAACTGGAGAGGCCCAGCTTTGCCGGCGGTTAGAGGGGATGCTCAGCTTTTCTTCTGTCATACTGATTTAGGACTATTATCCAATGTGCATGGACTCTGCTCTCTCATTATCAGAAAGGATCGATCTGAGGCCTAGGAGTGCCATCTTCTCTGACTGATGCACTATGGAGATGAATGCTGATCAAATTACTAAGAAAATTTGATTGAGCTTCCCATGAGCAAACAGACTCTAGCTGTCAGACAGTATAGGGAAAGACTGTGAGGCATTCGGTCTGAACTGCAAAGTAGAATCTGACTTTTCACCTGGTCATGCCACTATGAATTGCTCTTCTTACTGAAGGTAAACCCTCAGGTGGGGGATGGGATGCTCCAAGTGAGTCAGCGTTGTCCTTTCTTTGCTAATGGCCAGGAAATGTCTGTGTTGGAGAGTCTAATTGGATTTCTTTAACAGGAAAGCATCTGTCCAGCTCCATTAGCCAGTGGTAAACAGCAACACACAGCAGAGGGAGAGGCAGGTGGGAGAAAAAAAAAGGGGGAGAGATGCGAGGAGGCAGTTTAGATTGGGGGAATGAGTCAGAGGAGTCAAGAAGGGGGAAGCATGTTTGCTGTTGATGAAGGTGCACGAGTAGTCAGAGGTTTAGTGTGAGGTACAGCAGTAAATGTTGCAGGAGTAAAGAGCCAGAAGTGAAGCAGGGATGAGTCTGGATAATAAGCTCATTAGCAGGCAGCCCTGGTGTTATGGTAATTCACTTAACTGCAGATTACACATCTGATTATTTCTATGCCTCCGTGCTGACGACAGCCGTGGAGGCATTATGTTTTTGGTTGTCCGTACGTCTCGTGAACGCCTTGAGGGATTTTGGTGGTGTTTTTTTTTTATTTTTTTTTTTTATTGTTTTGTTTTTTTTTTTCAGCAATGGTGTACTCCACACTCATGGCTGGAAATTACCCAGTATGTCAACAGATATATCTCTTGACCAGTGAGCAGCTGTAACAGAGAAATGCCTTGCCCAAGGGCACCTCAGCAAATCATTTCTTTTTATCTAATTGACGCAGATTATTTTGACATCTGTTAAAGCGAGATGTATCGCTAAAGAGCAGCCTCTGTGGCCACAATTCACAATTTAATGGTAAATGCTATAACATAGATGAACTTAAAGTCGTCTGATGTTAACCACCAGAAAAGTGCTCTTTCTTGTCTTGTCTAGTCTTGTTTTAACAACAGGCATCACTGAATGGAGTGGCCTAAGTTTGGAACTTCAGTCATGATAACTGTTATTATGTGATCAAAGCTCCATGGTTACGTCAGTCCACAACAACTGAGCAAACATGATCTGCTGACCATGAGACGCAGTTGGAAGCTTTTGAAAAATGTATTAAATTAATCTTGATATGATGTGTTTTTTTTCTGTCTTGACAAAAATGATGCTGTTAATATACAATAATACAATGATGTATAGGTGAGACAAACTAAATGGTCTGCTGTGGAGGTTTATTACTTCTGTTCAGTTCAAGTTTACTTAAAGACAGATTCCTCTTCATGAATCAGAGTACAAATGATAGTGGAAGCTGACTGAGTAAGTAGAGGTCAATGCAGGACACATATGACTCTCATTTACATTTTCTCGGGCAGCGCTTGACATTAACTCAGACATTTCCCTCCATCACATCTTTCTCTCCCGTGAGAAAAGCTACATTCACCAACACAATGAAAAGACACTCAGTAAAGGCTAAATCAAACCTGGCAGCCTCATACCTCCAGGCTACAGCTCTCGTTGGCATCTCATGCATCTACTGAAACACTGCGATGCAACGTGTTACTAGGGGTCCTCCCTATAAACTAGCAGGATGCGTCACGGCGAGAGACCCTGGAAGGGGAAAACCACTCGTTCCTCAGAGATGCATCGTGAAGGAACAGTGGGGCTACTATGCTGCCTGTAAATTGAGCCTTTCTTCCTGTGAGAGGGTGACATGGTGGAATGCAGCACATTAATGTGGACATGGGTGGGCTTCTCATTCCTGTCATAGCATCTCTCTCTTCCCTTTGACCCACCATGACTTTCTTCTCTCTTTTTTTGCCTCCATGGCTCCATTCGAGTTTATCTCAACAGGGTGTGGATGCAGAGGTTGTGTGTTTCTTCAGCATTCAGGTTCTTGTCAGGATGACTGGTTTTAACCCTGAGGTTCTTTCTTAACGCCATCCCGTCCATTTCAGGTTGAGTTCAATGAAGCTTTATTGGCATGAAGTTTTGATCAGCCAGGTTGATATAATGCCCAATATTATTTTATCACAGATGCAGTATATTGATGTGGGTGTCTGAAGGTCACATTGTCATGGTGTACTGGGGCACTTACAGAACAGAGACATTGTTAATGTTAAGTAACACCTGTGTTTTTTGCACTGTAACAAGTCAAAATGCCCCCCTCCCCCCATCACATGTCTCGTGCTCTCTTTAGAGAACAAATAAACACTCGAGGCAGAAATTTGAATTTGATATTTTTTGCAATTATTGTACATATTCGAGTCAGAATGCAGTTGTTTTGATATGTAGATGAAGAATTTCTTTAATTTGTGAATAAAATGACCTGTGTGGAAATGCTGTACATTCAAAAATAAAGAAAATAAAGAAAAGTCAAAAAGTTTTTTACGCCTTGCTGGAGTGGAAAAATTGGTGCATTGATAAATGTATTAATTTAGTGAATAAATCGTGACGTGCATGGAGCACATTCCTCAAATTATTACATGACACAAAAATAAATGTGATATTTCCATCACATTTTCCACATCATTTTCATTTGTTTCGTCGGTTTGCCTGGCACTCTTTACTCTGCCAACTACGTCTTAAGGAACATTGGATTTTGCGGGCTCAGCTGCCAGTCAAACGTGCACACCAGCTCGCCCACTCAGTGGCTTGAAGCATTTCTGTTATATCCCCAATGATTTCAGAAATAAGAAAAAGAAAGATGATAGATTACACAATTTATTTCTGTTTTGATGAAATATTAAGAAGCTGATAGTTATGAATGATTAAAATATGTTGAACAGACGTATTCAACAACAACCATATTCACTCTCTTTCTTCAGCATGGGCCGCTGTGGAGGTGAACATGGAGGACAGAGTGGAGGTGTTCAGGGGCGAAACAGCTCAGATCGCCTGCATGTTCAAATCGGATGACGGCATCGGCGGCACGACCATAAAGTGGTTCTATGTGAGTTTGATCGAGCCTGCTGCACACATACACACATACAGATGTAAGTATGATGTTTCTTTGCATGTGATGTTTGATCCTTTTAAAAAAACCTTTAGACGACACGGTCAGGCGAGAGGCAGAACATCTACTTCCAGGACAGCACCATGAAGACTGTACACCGAGGCACACCGTTCACTGACCGGATCAGTGTGAACGGTACCGGAGCCAGTGGAGGAGTGGTGTTGACTATCAACAATGTGAGGCTGGAGGACGAACTGGAATTTATCTGTTTCATCAAAAGTCTGACGGATGGGGATGGGGAGGGACGAACAAAGCTCAAGGTGTTTGGTAAGATTCAGTCTGAGATGGCCTGTGTTAACAGCACCAGATACAGGATAACAATAGATGATGCTGAAAGAATGGGTATCATTAGTTGTTGCCTGTGGCCAATTCAACTTCACATTTCAACTGCTTTCAGTGAATACAACTCAACCAACAGTTCAATGTTTACAGCTTTTTCAGTCCTTTCACATGACCTGCAATTTCATCTTATTTCAGTGATAACCCTTCAACTGAACCCTTTAACTCCTTTCAGTGTTTCCAGTGACACTTCAACCCCTCACAAGCAAAAAATTGACATTTTAAAACATTTTGACATCCTTTCCTTGAACACACTGAGACACTGAAACAGTTTGAAACCGTTCAAAACTGCAATTTTATCACCTGCCAGAACACATTAACTTTTTTTGTCTTTTTATGCTTCCGCGTCAGCGACAGCCAGGGTCAGGGGGCATAAAAAGATGGAGGTGTACAACTGCGAGATGGTAATTCTAGTGTAGTTCTTGATTCAGTTCTTAATTCCTATGCAGAAACACCAGCCCTCCCTACCATTGAGGTTGTTCAAACAGGCTTCTCAGTCAGTGAAGACAGCCCGTCCAAGGTAAAAATGCTTTCAATTGTGAACATCAGAGTATGTATGTTATGAAATGACTGTCAGGCTATAGTTCAATTTTTTGAATTTATTCTTGTCTCTTTTCTCTCCTCTCCCTCAGATTGGAGTCTGTGAGGTCAAAAATGGCTTCCCCAAGCCGAACATCACTTGGTACAGAAACAACACGCCACTACGCAGTAATCAGGATGGTGAGACGGATTCACATCAACATCTGCAATACATTTCTACACTATTTTTGGTTGTTCCTTATGTGGTTTAATGTATTTTCCTGAATTTGCCTCTCTTTCCTTCCTGTCTTGTGTGTTTGCACGTTTTTGTTCTCCAGTGGTGCTCACTACCACTATGGAATCCAGTGGTCTGTACTCAGTTAGGAGTGAGCTGAACATGAAGGTAATGAAGGAGGACAAGGATGCTCTGTTCTACTGCGAGGTCAACTACTTTGTTCCTGGAGGAACCAGGATGACAGAGACCAACCGTATTAACATCACTGTATACTGTGAGTTTCACACACTACTCTGCTGAATACTGTTGATCTGTATGTTTCATTTCTTAAAAAATCTAAGAGTCTAACACTAGTGTTTCATCCTTGGTTTAAGTGAAACCTGGACACTATTTGTTAGAGATTACTGACAGCTAAGAAAAAAACTGAGAGCTGCACTATGAAGCAGGATTTGACGTTAGCAAGGTAACTTCAGGTTTAACCCTGGGTTTAACAGAGCTTCTAACAAATGGAGGGAGAGTTTATCAAACTAAATATCTAATCACTATTATAATTTCATTATTAATCAAAGAAAGATTCTTTAATGCCAACAGAATTCCTGACAGTGCCGATGCTGTCTCTTCTTCCACCACTGCAGCTCAGAATAACATTAGGATGATAACTGGAAAATAAAAACTGAACCCACTGATGTCTTTGATTAGAAAAATGATCTACACACTGTTAAATATTACCCATGATTATGAATGAACATTTCAGTCAGTGGAAGTCTGTCTCTTCTCTCCTCTCTGCAGCAGAAACAGTCTGACATAACTTTAATTTTATTTTTTATCTTTATCACATGTTCATAATGGTTTGTTCATCATGAGACAAAAGAGCAAAAATACTCACTCAGTAATTTAATAATAACTCATGTGCATATATCCTGAGCCTGACTTTGATAGCTGGAAATTATTTCCAGTGTTTCTTTTCTTTTCTAATTATGTGATCATATTGTTTACATTTTACCTTGTTAAATATCACTTTTGAGTGTCGCTATAACCAAAGTTACCTGCAGCTTTCACTGGTTCTTCTTATATTTTTTCATGGTTCTGACGTAGTACAGGTTATCCAGGATTGCAAATGTAAGGTTCAGTTAAGCGAGATGATGAAAGGATATCCTGGGTATGTTGAAGTGTAGCCAGATAGCCTCGATTGTTGATGGAGATGGGACAGAGGGCCCTCACCAGCTGAGGTTTAAAACCTCCCACCAGCCAATCAGCCAGCAGCACTTGAAACACCACCTTAAGAACATCACTCACACACACACTCACACACACACACACACACACACACACACACACACACACACACACACACAAAGAAAGTAGTTATTTATACATTTTAATATGTTAAGATACGTTTGCACTTAATAAATTCCTACTTTGCAATTTATTTTGCTCAATCTTGTAATTCTGTTACATGGTGGCAGGATAGTTTAGTAAGGCATAAAACTGACAAAAAACATAATTGTATAGTGAGGCATAAAAACATCAAAAAAAGTCATATTATTGTATGACATAAAAATGTCATAGTATAGTAAGACATAAAAATGTCAGAAAACGTCATTGTTTAGTATTGCATACAACGTCATAGTATAATAAGACATAAAAACATCAAAAAACATCATATTATGTTATAGCATAAAAATATCCAAAAACATCATAGCATAGTATGGCATAAAAATGTCAAAAATTGTGATAACATAGTATAGCATAAAAATGTCAAAGAATGTCATAGTATAGTATGGCATAAAACGTCATAGTATAATAAGGCATAAAAACATCAAAAAACATCATATTATGTTTTAGCATTAAAATATCCAAAAACGTCATAGTATAGTATGGCATAAAAATGTCAAAAATGTCATGCTATAGTATGGCATGAAAATATCCAAAAACGTCATAGTATAGTATGGCATAAAAAGTCATAGTATAATAAGGCATAAAAACATCAAAAAACGTCATAGTATATTATGGAATTAAAATATTCAAAAAAGTCACGTGGCATGAAAACGTCAAAAAACGTCATAGTATAGTATGCCATAAAACATCATAATATAATAAGGCATAAAAACGTCAAAAACGTCATAATATAGTCTAGAATGAAAAGTCATAGTATAATAAGGCATAAAAACATCAAAAAACGTCATAGTATATTATGGAATTAAAATATTCAAAAAAGTCACGTGGCATGAAAACGTCAAAAAACGTCATAGTATAGTATGCCATAAAACATCATAATATAATAAGGCATAAAAACGTCAAAAACGTCATAATATAGTCTAGAATGAAAAGTCATAGTATAATAAGGCATAAAAACGTCAAAAACGTCATAATATAGTCTAGAATGAAAAGTCATAGTATAATAAGGCATAAAAACGTCAAAAACGTCATAATATAGTCTAGAATGAAAAGTCATAGTATAATAAGGCATAAAAACGTCAAAAACGTCATAATATAGTCTAGAATGAAAAGTCATAGTATAATAAGGCATAAAAACGTCAAAAACGTCATAATATAGTCTAGAATGAAAAGTCATAGTATAATAAGGCATAAAAACGTCAAAAACGTCATAATATAGTCTAGAATGAAAAGTCATAGTATAATAAGGCATAAAAACGTCAAAAACGTCATAATATAGTCTAGAATGAAAAGTCATAGTATAATAAGGCATAAAAACATCAAAAAACATCATATTATGTTTTAGCATAAAAATATCCAAAAACGTCATAGTATAGTATGGCATAAAAATGTCAAAAATTGTAATAACATATTATAACATAAAAACGTCAAAAAACGTTATAGTATAGTTTAGAATGAAAAGTCAGGGTATAATAAGGCATAAAAACATCAAAAAACATCATATTATGTTTTAGCATAAAAATATCCAAAAACGTCATAGTATAGTATGGCATAAAAATGTCAAAAATTGTAATAACATATTATAGCTTCAAAACGTCAGAAAACATTATAGTATAGTATCGCATTAAACATCATAGTATAACAAGGCATAAAAACATCAAAAAACATCATATTATGTTTTAGCGTAAAGATATCCAAAAACATCATAGTATAGTATGGCATAAAAACGTCAAAGAATGTCGTAGAATAGTATGGCATAAAACGTCATAGTATAATAAGGCATAAAAACATCAAAAAACATCATATTATGTTTTAGCGTAAAGATATCCAAAAACATCATAGTATAGTATGGCATAAAAACGTCAAAGAATGTCGTAGAATAGTATGGCATAAAACGTCATAGTATAATAAGGCATAAAAACATCAAAAAACATCATATTATGTTTTAGCGTAAAGATATCCAAAAACATCATAGTATAGTATGGCATAAAAACGTCAAAGAATGTCGTAGAATAGTATGGCATAAAACGTCATAGTATAATAAGGCATAAAAACATCAAAAAACATCATATTATGTTTTAGCGTAAAGATATCCAAAAACATCATAGTATAGTATGGCATAAAAACGTCAAAGAATGTCGTAGAATAGTATGGCATAAAACGTCATAGTATAATAAGGCATAAAAACATCAAAAAACATCATATTATGTTTTAGCGTAAAGATATCCAAAAACATCATAGTATAGTATGGCATAAAAACGTCAAAGAATGTCGTAGAATAGTATGGCATAAAACGTCATAGTATAATAAGGCATAAAAACATCAAAAAACATCATATTATGTTTTAGCGTAAAGATATCCAAAAACATCATAGTATAGTATGGCATAAAAACGTCAAAGAATGTCGTAGAATAGTATGGCATAAAACGTCATAGTATAATAAGGCATAAAAACATCAAAAAACATCATATTATGTTTTAGCGTAAAGATATCCAAAAACATCATAGTATAGTATGGCATAAAAACGTCAAAGAATGTCGTAGAATAGTATGGCATAAAACGTCATAGTATAATAAGGCATAAAAACATCAAAAAACATCATATTATGTTTTAGCGTAAAGATATCCAAAAACATCATAGTATAGTATGGCATAAAAACGTCAAAGAATGTCGTAGAATAGTATGGCATAAAACGTCATAGTATAATAAGGCATAAAAACATCAAAAAACATCATATTATGTTTTAGCGTAAAGATATCCAAAAACATCATAGTATAGTATGGCATAAAAACGTCAAAGAATGTCGTAGAATAGTATGGCATAAAACGTCATAGTATAATAAGGCATAAAAACATCAAAAAACATCATATTATGTTTTAGCGTAAAGATATCCAAAAACATCATAGTATAGTATGGCATAAAAACGTCAAAGAATGTCGTAGAATAGTATGGCATAAAACGTCATAGTATAATAAGGCATAAAAACATCAAAAAACATCATATTATGTTTTAGCGTAAAGATATCCAAAAACATCATAGTATAGTATGGCATAAAAACGTCAAAGAATGTCGTAGAATAGTATGGCATAAAACGTCATAGTATAATAAGGCATAAAAACATCAAAAAACATCATATTATGTTTTAGCGTAAAGATATCCAAAAACATCATAGTATAGTATGGCATAAAAACGTCAAAGAATGTCGTAGAATAGTATGGCATAAAACGTCATAGTATAATAAGGCATAAAAACATCAAAAAACATCATATTATGTTTTAGCGTAAAGATATCCAAAAACATCATAGTATAGTATGGCATAAAAACGTCAAAGAATGTCGTAGAATAGTATGGCATAAAACGTCATAGTATAATAAGGCATAAAAACATCAAAAAACATCATATTATGTTTTAGCGTAAAGATATCCAAAAACATCATAGTATAGTATGGCATAAAAACGTCAAAGAATGTCGTAGAATAGTATGGCATAAAACGTCATAGTATAATAAGGCATAAAAACATCAAAAAACATCATATTATGTTTTAGCGTAAAGATATCCAAAAACATCATAGTATAGTATGGCATAAAAACGTCAAAGAATGTCGTAGAATAGTATGGCATAAAACGTCATAGTATAATAAGGCATAAAAACATCAAAAAACATCATATTATGTTTTAGCGTAAAGATATCCAAAAACATCATAGTATAGTATGGCATAAAAACGTCAAAGAATGTCGTAGAATAGTATGGCATAAAACGTCATAGTATAATAAGGCATAAAAACATCAAAAAACATCATATTATGTTTTAGCGTAAAGATATCCAAAAACATCATAGTATAGTATGGCATAAAAACGTCAAAGAATGTCGTAGAAT